ACATTTGCGGCAAAACTGTTATTTTTGTTCCACCTGTAATTTATTATTAAGATCTGTATTTCAATTGTGTCTAGCAATCTTAGCTGAAGATGTGTGCCCTGTTGTGTTAGGTGCTGGACAGACATGCTCCAAAGAAGACAATCCTCTGCCTTGGAGTACACCAGTTCCATAACAGCTGGGATGCGAAGGCTGGACAAAATAGACAAGTTGGGGAAGGGCCAGAGGACAATGTAACAAAATGTTTATGGCAGTAACGCATGCATAATATATGGCAGTTATATTGCAGTAAGCATATATCTCCTTCCATTTAATCTACCTGTCAAATAAAATAGAACATAAATTTACAGCCTTGTAAATTGAGATCATCAGAGAAGGCGAGTTCAGTGTCCTGTGACTGCACAGTGGAATATCCCCAGAAGTGTGACTCCTTATTTAACAGAAAGGACACGGACAATGAGTTTAGGCTCAAACTTTTCTCTAAAGGAAACTTCCAGTGTAATAACTTAACATTTATTTTGAAGGAAGAAAAGGGAAAGGGAAGGAATTGTTCCCAAAATTCTGTTAACCCTTGGACCTTGTCTACATGGCAGTTTTTCAGTAAAGTTTATATGTGGATTTAAACTGATATAGTTATATTAGTAGTGCCCACGCACCTCTCCTCGAAGTGGACACTCTTATACTGGTCTAAGAGTGGCCTTTTCCAATTTAGCTTATGTCTCTTGGGAAGGAAGGGGTTTAAGTTAAGCTAAAAAAAATCCTACTCATTCCAGAGTAAGTGTGTCTGGAACAAGGGAAGTTTGTGGGTATAACTATATTGGAACATCTGGTAAATCTTTCCTATGTAGACAAGGCCATAGAGTGTGATTCTGCAGGCCTTACTTAAATGAGTATTCTTATTGATCTCACTGGGACTACTTGTGATTAGGGATGAAGGACCTAATCTTACATTTAAAAGATATGAATAACCTGGTTTGCTTAATTAATTGTGAAGCTCTCATAAAAAAGGACAATAGACAGCACTCCTGTTATGTGTGACAGTATTATCAGTTTGAAGTAGCTAAAATATCAACCCATTATGAAATAAATATTTGCAACTCAAGTTAGAAAAGCTGAGAACTGGAACCTGCAAATAACTCATGAGCATTTGCTTAATTAAGCCTTATTTTCACAGGCATCTCTTGCTGAGTGTACAGGCTTCCTCATGAATCATATGCCAAAGTGCAGACATACCTATGATCTTGCAGAGCACACAGGCATACTGGGCACAAGCTGAATGGAACCAGTCCAGTGGCAGATAAATATAGACTGAATCATGATAGATTACAGTTGTGGTTGGGACGATGAGGAACCACCAGGACGCATCACTATGCTCTGAGTTCTGTGTAAATGACATAAGCATTGGACAGTGAAAATAGGAAACTCAAAGGAGTTATTAGAATAGGGGTGGCCAACCCGTTACAAGCAAAGAGCCAAAATAGTTGTGAATCTAGCGCAAAGAACCGGAGGGGGGAGGGGAGTTGTCGAGCAAAGAAAAAAAAAAAGGACTGCCCCTTTAAAAGGAGCCCCCAGCCGCACCATGGAGGAGGAAGAGCCGTGTACGGCTCATGAGCCGCAGGTTGGCCACGGCTGCCCTAGAAGTTTCAGACTTTTTCCTCTGTAATTTTGTTAGGTTTTCTCCATCATTTATTCATGTTAAGAGGGCAATCCTGAAACATTTCCTTCTTATGTGTAAGGATTATTCAACTGAATAAGAATTGCAGGATTTGTTATTGTGGGATTTTGCACTCCTACTATAATTTGAGTTTTAGAAGTACATCTAGAGCATGTCTACACTGCAACACTATTTCAGGATACTTGAGTATCCCAAAATAGCTATCCCGCATCTACACAGCAAGCCTGTTATTTCAGGCTCGCTATTCCAACGTCCCTGTAAACCTCATTTTACGAGGAGTAAGGGACATTTCAGAATAGTGCTTTTTTCGAAATTTGGCACAGTATAGTCTATGTCAAATAATGAAATAAGCTATTTCAGAATAGCATCAAAATAAGATACATAATTTGTATAGCTCAAATTGAGTATCTTATTTCGAGTTAGGGTGCTGAGTAGATGCACCCCTACTAAAGTATTTTCAGGGTTAAATTAAATCAGGAGGTTATATGGATTTTGCAAACAGATAGAAGAAGAAAAGACAGGTTAAAATTTGAGCCAAACAGATGTTAGTGTCCCTTTCCATATTACGTGATTATTAAGCATTATTTGCCCAGCAGTCTGTAGGTGTTATTGCAAACAAATCGTAAAAAATAACTAACAATAAAATATGATCAAACTTCCCAGTGTCTCTGCCAGTACATGCATTATCTGATAATTCCGATACACAGTCTGCGTGCCATGTCTTTTTGAAAATCAGCTGCTGAACATATGTGATTTAGTAAGCTACACAGCCATGCAGAGTGTATATCAGAGGACAGGTTAAAGGCATAAGTTTTCATGTCAGTGAAAAAGTCCTGAATGGAGATTAATATGTGTAAGATGACAATTAAATGGCTAGATAAAAAGAAAAATATTCACAGTGTATAGTGATTCTTTCGAATGAAATATGGTATTTGTACATTGTGCCATTTGGGTATAGCCCACGGTGGAGTGTGGTGCAGAGCTACAGTGCCTGGGGGAAGTAGGAGGTATTCTGTCTTGCAGGAGGTAATATGCTTTCCCCATGGCACACAGGGGCAGCTCATCTGCTAATTCTTCTTTATTCAGGGTATAGACTGTTCCCCTCACCACACACAGCCAGCTGGCTGTGCTAGCCAGTGTATTTGGAAGAGACTGAGCTATTAGTCCACCTCCTGCCCATTCCTCCATGTCACCTTATTTCTGGGTTTCTGCATGGCATTCATGTGAGCTGTGCAATGAATAGGAGAAAGCTCTTATGCCCTCCATTGCACTCAGTGGGGGCCAGCAAAATCTAGCCCATAATGAAGAATGGCATGACCCCTGCCTTAACCATCAGTCCAAAATGATCACGGCAGAACAGGCAGTTAGAGTTGTTAACAACAAATGAAGCAGCCACTACATCATCCTAGTGCAGGAGTGGGCAATAATTTTTGCAGGGGGGCCATTAATGAATTTTGATATTTATTGGTCATGGGCTAACTCCACCCTCTCCCTGGGGTAGGGTTGCCAGGTGTCCAGTATTCACCCAATCAGTCCAGTATTTTCAGTTCCTGTCCTGTAAAAAAAAATTTCAGAGAATAGCAGACACCTAAAAATGTCCGGTATTTTCTGAATGTTTTCCCGGCCAGGAGGCGAAAATGCCGGGCACCTGGCAACCCTACAAACACTCAGTGCCTGGCCTCCTCCCTCCCCCGACCCCCAAGTTGCCAGGTGTCCAGTATTCACCCAATCAGTCCAGTATTTTCAGTTCCTGTCCTGTAAAAAAAAATTTCAGAGAATAGCAGACACCTAAAAATGTCCGGTATTTTCTGAATGTTTTCCCGGCCAGGAGGCGAAAATGCCGGGCACCTGGCAACCCTACAAACACTCAGTGCCTGGCCTCCTCCCTCCCCCGACCCCCAACACTCCCAGCCCCCTGACCCCAGCCCCCATGCTTACCTGGTTCCCCAAGGCTGCCGGCACAAAATGGCTGCCAGCCAAAAGACCTAGGGGAAGCAATGCTTCCCCTGTGTCTTAGTACTCAACCCCTCCCTGTTCCTATCCCTGCACTAAAAGGAGACATGCTGTTTTAATGCTGTTTTATTTTTATTTTTTGGCTCAACAACTTTGCTCTCCTCTTTTTTTCCCCCTTCAACAGAATTTTTCCCCTGTTTTTTTTTTGGGGGGGGGGAGTGTTCGGTATTTTTGTTTCTGGCAACCCTACGGAAGGGGCAGGGCTGGGGACTAGCCTCCCCAAAGAGTTGTCTTTGAAGTGAAAGGTGGGGAGGCTTTGAAGTGAAAACAAAGCAAAGGGCTTGCAGCTCCCATCTCCTCCACTACCACATTGCCTGGCAGCCACCTGGGGTTGCTGTGGATATTTAAAAGGCTCGCAGCCCCTAACGCTGCGACTGTGAGCCATTTAAATAAGATCCTGCTGCCTGAGCCACCACCTGGAAATTCAGTGGCATGGACAGTAGGATATGAATACAAAGTGGTAAGATGCGGTCTGCGGGCCGGATCAAAGTGTTAGGTGGGCCAGATTCGGCCCCCAAGCCGCATCTTGCTCAGTCCTGTCCTGTTGCATCCTCATGCTGCTGAGGAAAGCAGCATACTCACTCATGGGGCAGGAATGTGCAATCTTCCTGGATATTTAATAAGTATCATTGATAGCCCGGAATGCAAAAGGTCTTTCCAGCCAGTTGCAAGTTTTTGAAGGTCGTCATGCGTTCAAAATGGGATAGAGATATTTGGGGGTGGGGAAGATATTATCCCTGAGCTGCTCTGGAGATATGAGGGAATTTGGAGGAGGAAAGGTTCAAGTGTAATATCTGATGGAAGGTGGCCCATCCCCATAACCTGTTAGACAGTTTTGCATTAGTTCACAGACTTTAAAAGAAATGCTTCTGTCAGCTCAAGTGTTTTACCAGTCAGCACACAGCATGTCTGCTCATAATCGAGTCCTTCCACTGGCAGTGGTAAGGGTGGTTGGAATTAATTCAAAGGGAAGAGCTGTGGTAGGGCTGCACACTCTGCGGCTTACGCAGGTGAGGGACAAGGGGACTTACTTGGAAGGGATTTGAGCACTGGGGCTGCTGCTGCTCTCACTCCCACTATAAGCAAAGAACAATACCTCCATGGTGCCGCCCCAAAGGCAGGGCGACCATGTCAGGGTGTGTGCTGTCAGGGTGCATCCTCAGCTCTATTGTTTCCCACCTGTGTAAGTGTGTGACCTATCATGTGTCTACTGGTCTGCTGTTTTGAAGTGAGCAGTCTCAGTGCTGCATGCTGAGCTTACCCACAGCTCATCTACACTGTGTTTGTTGACTCTCTTTATCATTTATCTCCAAAGGTTGGAGGCTGGCAGGGACCACGTTTTGCCCATTGACTATTACTTTCCACCACAGAAGACCTGCCTGATTTGCGGCGATGAAGCTTCTGGGTGCCACTACGGAGCTCTCACCTGTGGCAGCTGCAAAGTCTTCTTCAAAAGAGCAGCTGAAGGTAATGCACCTCTGTTCCGATCACACAGACACCAGAGAGCAAACTCTCCAGCCCTGACATCTCCGGTTTCTTAGAAATGGCCTTGCACTTCATCGTCTCATTAGAAACAAATGCATTAGTTATATAAAATGTCTATGGCCATTAGCAGAATCATTAAATGTCTAACACCTTCTTAGGAAACTGGGCTTTCCTGCTGGCTCTGAGGGGCCTATAGAGCAGAGGAAGCAGAGGCCTGAGGATTGGGCAGAAAGCAGGGAGGGACCCTAAAGTCCCTTAATACAAAAAGGTACAAGTTACAGCAGGGGTGGGCAGTAATTTTTGACTAGAGGCCAATTCAGAAATTTTTGATGTGTCCCTGGGCTGCCACGGAAGGGGCGGGGCATCAGGCAGAAGGGGTGGCACCTCAACACTTCCTAGCTTCCCCACTCACAGACCCTGATTGGTCTGTGGGTGGAAGAGTGCGTGAAGTCTTTGCACCTGCCCTCTCCTTCCCCCCCGACAGAGAACTGCCAGCTGTTCTGAACAGCTGGTGATTCCCTCTAGGAGCCTGCACCCCTGTCAGTGGGAGGATACTTCGTGCGCTCCCCTCCACCCCCACCCCCCGCTTCCAGGTCAATCAGGAACAGGGGGAGGAGGGAGTCTGCCCCTGCCCTACAAGGAAGCGCCGTGCTTAGAGTCACCTTCCAGCTGAGCAGCAGCTAGCAGTTAACTAAATGCCAAGCCCCTTGCAGGGCAGGAGGAGACTTTGGATACATCTAAACTACATCCCTTTTTCGATAAAGGGATGTAAATCAGATGTATCGAAATTGTCAATGAAGCTGGGATTTGAATTTCCCGCGCTTCATTTGCATAACGGCAGACGCGGCTTTTTTTTTCCGAAAAGCCACTTTTCGAAAAAAACCCGCGGTCAAGACGGGTCTCTTTTGAAATGCCCCATTTTGAAAGATCTGTTGAAAGAGCCCCATCTTGACCACATTTTTTTTTTTTTTGAAAAGCGGCTTTTTTTAAAAAAAGCCGCCATTATGCAAATGAAGCACGGGAAATTCAAATCCCAGCTTCATTTACAATTTCGATACATCTGATTTACATCCCTTTATCGAAAAAGGGATGTAGTTTAGATGTACCCTTTGTATGCTCCCCCCCTTTGTATGCTCCCCTGATTGGCCTGGGGGCAGGGAGAGCACAGTCTCTTGCTCCCTGCCCTCCAGCGCACGGTGCTTGTGCCAATTTCCAGGGTTGACTGTAAGTGTTGCGTGCTCCCCTGTCCCCAGGCCCTGATTGGCTTTGGGGGCAGAGGAGCAGCAGGACCTCCGCAGGCCAGATCAACCCACTTGACAGGCTGGATCCAGCCCACAGAGGCCCTTTTGCCCACCCTGGTTACAGACACAGAAAGGTACCAGTACACGTTATTGTACCTTTCACATTCTACATTATGAACCAGTCACAGAAAAATAATACTGACATAACCAGAGCCTGGGCCAGCCCTCTGTTCTTTCTGACACCTGCTGCTGGGAGTGAGTTCAACTGGGCTAAGGAGCAGAATCTCTCTCACCCATCTGGCTTTACACACTGCCTAGGGGTCACCATATTTCTGTCCACCCATCTTTGGTCCATAATCCAAATATCATAATCCAGTATTTTCCTTCTATTCCCTTTCCAGTTTCCCATTTCCTCATACTCCCCTCCATCTTTAAATGCACTCAGCACTGTCCCATTAACACTCCCATTAGCTTCCTGAGAATGAGAGCGTTTCATGGTACCCACAACAGGTCAGATCAGGAGTAATACTCCATCCACTGTGCCTTTACCATTCCTCCCCAGGCTGAAGGTTCTGTAACCAGCTCCACCTTTGAGTTCTAGTCCTTAGTGCATGAGCCTCCTGTGTTAAACATGGACCTAACATGCCCAAACCTGCTCGCCTTCACTGTCTGAATTTTCACACTACTGTACTTTATATGCAGAATGAAAAGACATTAATCACAGAGGGGTTTTAGGCTGGATGGTGAGAAATGCCAAAGGTTTTAAAACAGCAGATCAAAAGCATGCTCTTTTGCCAGCAGTTCAAGGCTGTTAGTTGATCGGGCCCATATATTTAACATAAGCTTTCCTGTCAATTACAGAATAGTTAAGTTTGACTTCTGGAGAGCATTTAACTACATGGATCATGATTGTTCCGTAATGCTAATACCTATTCAATGCACCGGCTGCAAATACTAATAAGCTAAATGTTTTTTATAATAGTATTGTAGCAGGAAAGCATTGCTTTTTATCAGCTAATAGTGCATGATATTAGGACTCAGAGGAATCACTCTCTGGCTTCTGTCATTGGCTGCATTCACTGTGATCTTGGGTTTTCGCTTCTCTGTACCTCACTTTACCCATCTGTGAAATGGAAGCCTGCTGTGCATTGTCACATTGTCTGTTGCATGTAGGCTAATAGGAACATGAAAAACAATGTGCGGGTATAAACTACTGCAGTAAGTCTATCCAACACCCTGCCGGGTGATGCAAGTTACTGTCACTAAGTGCTGTCCGCACCAGTGCTATCTCTTAAGGGTATGTAACAAAAAACAACAAATCAATAGTGTGGCACAAAATAGTTTAACATTTCAAAGCAACGTGGAAGTTTCCCTCCCCTCCGCTTCCGTGCCCTCTTCTCCCCTTCCCCCCCCCCCCCAATCAGGTATAGCTTCCATCTGGATATTTTATAATTGAAAGAACATTTGAGAAACAGCTAAAGTAAAATGGAACTAAAATGATCGGTTAATGGACACTGTCCCTGGGCCCGCTGACAAAAGGGGGGCAAAAGCAGCAGCTGCCCTGGGGCCTGGTGATTCAAAGAGGCCCCAGGGCTCCCTGCTGCTGTCACTGCTGCTCCTGCAGCAGTGGTAGTGGGAGCTCTGGGCCTTTAAATTGCCTCCCGGAGTTCCATGTCTCGCACTTTGGGCAGCTCTGAAGGCTGGGGGAAGGGAGTGGCACACTCCAGGCAGCGCAGAGGACTGGCTGCTTCTGGCCTTGGCCATTCTGCTTGAGGTCCTTCCTGGAGCGCAGAGTGACACACACACCCCACTGTGCCAGAGGTCCATGGAGGCTGTTGGCACCCTGACTATCCCCATTCACCATCTTCAGCCATAATGAAGGGTGACTGACAACTTGCTGGAGTGCATCCCAGTCTGCTTGCTTCATCCACAAGTCAAGTGATTAAAGCCTCCTTCGGATCCAAGGACTTTCTAGGTCTAACCTGCAGACATCGTCACTGCAAAAGCGTCATGCACGTTTGCACAGTTGGACTTGTTTGCCAGAGTCAAGACTGAAATTGCAGGGATGTTGTAACTTGGCATTGAGTTACATTGGCAGAGCTGCTTGGGGAACCCAGGACTGGAATAACAGGGGGTGCTGTATATCAGTAGTGAGGTGCTGAGTAAAGCTGACACCCTGGCCTATTTGCACTATGCTTTGTCATATACAATGCTGTCACCTCCTTAATGGACTAAATTCACAGAATTCTTTAAAAGGGATTTACTCTTGTCTCAAGTTCTAGTCTTCAGGGTGTGTTTGGAGTGTCAGAAATATTTTATTATTTTACTTATAAATTAGGATCATATGACATTTACTAGGGTCATAATTCTTCTAGCAACAGATTCTTTCCTTTCCCTTGACAGATTAATTAGAATAAAACATGTTTACCTAATGCACTAAATTGCAAGACAGAGGAGATGGGAAGGCACACTGGTTTCCAACTGGAAAATCTCATTAATATGTTGTTCTATTTTCAGCTACCCAGCAATGTTAGTTCATGTTTAAAGAGTGAGAGTAAAACTGAAAATTTTCTTTTGCTTTATCAGATTCTGATCCATTTTGCTTTGCAGGACAAAACTTTGTCTGCAATATCAATACTGCAGCCATAATTAAAAGCCTGCTCATTCTTCCACTAAAACCCCTGCTCCTTTTACACCCAGGAGTTAGTAACATCTAATATGGGCTCTAGGGATATTAAATATTGGTTAATTGAATAGTCAAGTAACCTCATGAATTCTTATCTGTAAGTAAACTATTCTGTAGACCTTGGGGGCAGGGCTGGCAGCCAGTGCGCCTCACCCCCAAGAAGCCTCCTGCCATTCCATGCTGCTGCCTCTGTATCAGAGTCAGCAGCATGGGTGCCAGGCAGGAGATGGCCTGCAAGGGAAGTGAGTTTAAAAACCAGCTCCCCGTGTAGACTGGCTGCCTGTCACACTGTGCTGAGAAAAGGCAAAAGCAACACTGCGTCCAAGGAATGAGTCCGCTTTTTCGGAATTTTTTTTGAAAAAGCAGATATCCTCTTTCACCATCTCTGGAACCCTCGTTCTATGAGAAACAAGGGATGGCTCGAAAGAGCACTTTTTCCCAAAATTTGGCGCCGTGTAGACATGCCAAATTTTGGAAAAGCTTCTTTTGAAAGTAAATCAGAAAAAGATATACAATTTGCATACTTTTTTCCGATTTACCAGTGCAGTCTAAACATAGCCTAAGTCTATGTCTACATAGCAGCGTTATGTCAGAATAACTGACATTATTCCGAAATAACAAAAAGCGCATCTCCGGTACAAGCCTTTATTTCAAAATAAAGTCAAGCCAGAGGACTTCTTACTCTGACTCATGGTAACCCTCATTTCAGGAGGAGTAAGGGAAGTCGAAGGAAGAGTGTTCTTCCTTTGACTTCCTGCTGTGTAGACAGTACCAAAAGCCAAAGTGAGGTATTTCAACTTCAGCTACGCAATTGATATTGCTGAAGTTGCATAGCTTAATTCAGCTGTAGCTCTGTGGTGTAGACTTGCACTTAGTGTAGAACTGGCCATAGACTGGGGCTTCTGCATGACTTTGTTTATACCTATTGCAATGCTTACTGCTCTTTTGTAGATGGAGATTTTAAAACTAGAAAGTGATTTGACTGGATGAATTACATAGGGATTCAGGGGGAGGCAATTTAGGTCACCTATATCCAGATTTTAACCTAGATAATC